GGTGAGGACTGGAGAGATGGGGTGGAGCTGGGCCTCAAACCAGGTGCCCAGATCCCAGCTCGGGATCTTCTCAGCGTCTCCAGGTCCTCAGTGACATCAGGGTATCTCCCTTGCTTTCAGCACCCCTCAGTTTGGGATGCACCCCCTGGGTCCCACAAATCTGTCCTTGGCCAAGGCAGGGTGGGGCTGCTGAGATCCTGAAGATGGGCCACCAGGGGCTGCTATGATCATATCAGGGCCTCCTCAGAGGCCTGCAGGAAACTTGGAACCTGGGTGAGGAAGAGCCCCTCAAATTAGGTGTGCCCTGAGGCTGTGAGACACAGGAAACCCTCCCACCTCCAAGTAGCAGAGAAAGAGTCTTCTGGAGGGTTTAAGACCAAGTTGCTGTGTGCCCTCAGGCAAGTTGCCTCCCCTCTCTGAACCTGTTTTCTCTTTTTCAGAATAGAGGTGCTTATCCTCACTTCTCAAATCTGGGCTTCCCTTTTTTCTGCTTTGTTCAACAGGGTGGACAAAGACCAATCAGGATGTAGTGGTCCAGAAACGAAGCCCAGTGACTCCAGGTCAGGGTTAGGTTCCAGTCCTTGCTCTGCCACAAACTCACTGAGTCCTTGTGTTGCAATTGGGAAAACTAAGGCCCACAGAGGAGAAGGAATTCACTCCGTTTCCCCAGTTGCAACACAAGAGGTAGGACTCCGTATTTCCTAAAGTCCTCTTTGTTCCTTGGGATGTTGATAGATAGAAACAAAAACTTATGTGGTCAAAAGTTAGGAAAATGCTGGGCTAAAACTAAAGGGACATCTTGCTTGCAGGACTTTCAGAGTCTTGAATATGGTAATGTGACTTGTGCATCTCCAAGAGTGGGGTATACATCTGTTTCTCAAACTTTTGATGGGAAACCCACTTTCCAAGGTGGCTTGGAGATCAGCTGGACTAGGTTAAAGTAGGAATAACACACTAACCTTATTGAGCATCTTTTACCTGATGGCTCTGTGCTAGAAGATTTGACCACTCATCTCCTGAATTAATGCCACATGGTACATATTTTGAAATATTAGCCTCACTTTACAGTTGAGAAATAGATGCTCAGAGAGGGGCCCTCACTTGCCAAGGCCGCATGCTCATGCATGTGGCATCAGCATGCAGCTAGCTCCATCTGATCCTCAAACCACTAGGTCCCTCTGTGCTTGGGGAGGTCCCTCTTACAGGACTAATCTACCCTGTCATACTCACCACACATCACCTGCTGCCATCCCAGCCCTTCAAGTGCTACCACCCCCTTTGACAGGTCTGGAAACTGAGGCTCAGAGAGACCACATAAGTCACTCAGGGCCACACATGGAGTCAGTGGGAAACTGAGGCCAGTTTTCCTGCCTTCCCCCTTTCCCCTGCCACTCTTTGGAGAGCTGGTGATGGCGGTAATTTAAACAGAAAACTTTTTAACCATGGGGCTCGCCTATTCCGCTGGCCTGGCACTGCCTTCTGATGGCCAGAGAGGAGGTAAGGGGAGGGGAGGGAAAGGAGCGCGGGCCCTTTAAGAGCACCCTTGATGCGCAGGCGCAGTGCAGCGCACCTGGCGCCTGGCTTGGAGTCCCGGTTGCCTCCGAGCGAGCGAGCCGAGCAGCACCGGGGTTCCAAATCGAGTTTCAGGAGTTTGAACTCGTCTCAGCTTCTCCTCTCCGGAAATGGAGGAGATTCGAGTCAACAAAACACGGAGGCACCCTGGAAAGGTGGGTTTCCACCTAACATCGTCTACCTACATCTGCTCCGAGCCCCCACACCCTTCTGGGACAGCTCTGATCTCTCTGTAAGGTGGAGTGATCTTCTGACAGCTAGGTAGGTGGTAATCACAGGTGATGTGCAGCACACCCGGCTACCATATTGGACAGCTCAGATCTAGGGGTGTCAGCCCAAGACAGTGAGATGGGGAGGAGGAGGATCTTAGAGTCAGAACAGAGAGACCTAGAGAAAGGATTGCAGCTCTGGCAGGAGCGGCCGGAGTGGGCCGCCTCTCCCCGCTGTTTCCTTCACGCAGCATGAAGTTGGGCAGCCAGGGCTGTGGGACCCAAGACCGGGCCGAGGTTCTGCAGCCAAACAGGCCACTTGTGGGGGTTGGTGGTTGTTTTGTATTCTCTGCATAGTGCCACAGTTAAGAGCCAGACTCTGAATCAGACAGGCCTGTGTTCTATCCCAGCTGCTTCTCTGTTCTCCATCCCCAGCTGTGTGACTTTGGACAGAGTGATTGCCCTTCTCTGGGCCTTGCTAGCCTCGTCTGTAACACCGCTTTGTGTACCTTTATGGTGCTGAGTGGTTGTGAGGACTAAATTTTTAGTTAGCACTCAGCATGGTGTTCAGTCTTACAGTAACTGTAGGCTGTGATAGTAACATTGCTTTTGTCCCTGTCCTGCTCCTATCAATGTGGTAATCAAAGGTGATTGTGTAAAGAAAAGGCAGGGGTATGGCATGCTACAGTGGCTACACTGGAGGGCCCTTTGAAATTGGCCAGCTCAGCCCCCAGATGGGGAAACTGAGGCTAGGGGAGAAGGAACCCGGCAAAGGCGCACAGGGAGTCAGTGCTAGGACAGGGGTAGAACCCCAGCTGGGCTCCTGGGGCCAAGCCCAGACTGTCTGTGCCACATGCCCCTGTGTACCATGCACACAGACCCCACCCACAGAGGACGAGAAGGCCTTTCCAGTGTAGTATGTTGACCCAGATCTCCAAATGTGAGGGACCTTGCCCAGAGAGTGGCCCCCAGTCTTGCCTCCTTCCCCCTCCTGATGTCCTCCTGTGGGTTGGCCCAGGATGTGGGGACCTGGGTGACCCAGAGACCAAATTGGTGCTTGGGTGGCCCCAGGGGTGGGCCCTGGGAATGGGTGAGCCACTGGCCACCGCCCAGTCCTAATCCTGGCCCTAGACCCTGCTGCCCTGTGCCCACCCCACCCCATGCTCACACTGTGCTCTTGTCTCCTTGAATTCCATCTGTGGGATGGACTGGTTCAGGGTCACTCAAGGTAGCAATGTTGGGATTGGAACCCAAGTCTAGCTCACTCCAGAGGCTGGGCCTGCTGGACTTGCCTGCCTCTGGAGCCACCCTGGGCTCTACATGCCCCCAGGCGAGCTTTGGTTACATGTGGTTGTGGGGGGCAGGTGGTGGGGCTTGATGCCAGAACACATGGCTCCCTCTCACCATCCCTGTGGCCACTTCCTAGGTTCTCTGTCCTCATCTGTAAAATGGGCATGATTTTAATATGTACCTGATAGGGTTGTTTTGAGACTCAAGTGAGGCCATAAATGCACTTTGTCAGCTGCCATTTATGCTAATTATATACTATTTATGGTTATTCCCATGGCCTTGCATGGATCTCTGTCTTTCCCAGCTCGTCACTTAGCAGCACCTGGGCTGCTGCTTGCTATGGGCTGGGGTGATGCGCTTGGCTCATTGACCCCACTCAGAAAGGCCTGGGTACCCCCCCTGGACACAGCCCCTTCTTCCTGGAACCTCTATTTCCTACTCTGTGAATGGTGGGTTGCTGGGAGGCTATGGGAAACCCGGTGCCCAGAGCCCAGCACACTCCTGGGGACCAGATCCAATGCGCTGCCAGGCTCAGGGGCCTGGTCTAAGGGAGGTGGATGCCCCCACCACAGGGTCGAATCCAGGGTGTCCCCTCTGCATCACCTCTGCCCTGGACCTCACTATGCCAGCCACATGGGCAGGGCTCTGTACATGGGAGGGGAGCCTGCCTCAGGCTGGGGGCTCCCCAGTTCTCCCTGGCTCAGATGTTGGGCTGGTAGGCTAGGGGAGAAGAGCCGGAAGGAAGCAACAGGATGTGAGGAAGAATCTTTGTGCCGTGGGGTTCGAATCCCAGCTTTCCATGGATTTGCTGTGTGACCTCACACAGGTCACTGTCTCTGAGCCTCAGTATCTTCCTCTCGAACACTTCCTACCTTGCAAGGGTGTTGGGAGGATCCGACAAGATACATTATATATGAAAATGCCTGGCACACAGTCAGTGCCTGATAAATGCTGAGCTCCCTGGGGCAGAGGATACCTCCTGCAAGTCCCCAGGGGTAGGGGGTGAGTGTGTGCTGGGGTGTCTGGCCCAGCTGTGATGGAGCCAGCCAGGAAGATGGCCACTGCCCAGCTACTTTGTCCTGTCCTCAGCCACACTGCCACCATGGAAGCTTGGAACCTGCCAGGAACACAGAAGAACTGGGAAGGAATTTAGTTATGGAGGAGGGGATGCCACTCCCAGACCACCACAGCACCCTAGAGGGAATGAACCATAGGGGACTGGGTTTGGTTCTGTCTCTGCCACTCTGTGGACTGACTGCAGGCCATTACCAAGTGGCTGTCAAGAGGGGATGCCACTCCCAGACCACCACAGCACCCTAGAGGGAATGAACCAGAGGGGACCGGGTTTGGTTCTGTCTCTGCCACTCTGTGGACTGACTGCAGGCCATTACCAAGTGGCTGTCAGCCTGAGCGCTGACAGTAAACAAGGTAAATGACAGTGTTCACCTCAAAAGATCTGGAGTAATGAAGCACCAAATGCAAAGTGCCCCATGCACGGGAGCTGCTGGGTGGTTCCTGGCCTGTGTCCCTCTGGGCTCCAAGCTGGGTCAGCTGGGGAGGAGACAGCCTGTTCTACTCCTAAGGGGAGGCAGAAGGAATGAACGCAAACAAGAGCTACAGAACAATCCAACAGCTGAGACGCCATCTGTGTTTTCCTTTTTTTTTCTTTCTCTTCATTTTTAAAACAATATAGTGCAGACTGCACTTCTCACAGTAGAATATAATGGTCAATTTTAGTATATAAAAAAACATTCTCAGAGATTTGTAAATGCACTTAGTGCTTGAACAGGCCTTGGAGAGAGATACAGTACCGCTTCCGGAGCGCCAGAGGGGCCAGGACCTGGGGGACTTCGGGCCTTGGGGACTTAATAGGGGAACCCCTGCCTGCCTCCCCCACTCAATGGTGTCAGACAGGCCTTGGGACAATGGTTTGCAGGAAAGGAGTTGGATCTGGTCTCCCAATTAAAACCAGTGGATTGCTGTCTCACTGGCTCCCAGGAGACTGCTCCTCCCCCCACCCCCACCCCAAGAAGAAGGCAAGGTAAGGTCCCTCTGAATAAGGTCTAAGATTGCAGGCCCATTGTCAGCCCCTATGGCGCCTTTGTGCGAATAGGAAAATAGCGCCCCTTCCTCAAGATGCGGAAAATTGTAATAAATATACAAGTCTAGGATGCAAGTGGTGTCTCCTTGGACAAGGTGCCCTTTTGCAGTGCACAGCCTGCACAACTGTGCCCAGCAGCCCTGTGAGATGTATTGGAGGGAAGGGGGAAGGGGTGGTCCAGGGTTTGGAGAATGGGGATGGGGGTGCAATTATGTGTTAGGAAGGAATGGCTGGGTGGGGTTGTGAGCAGGGAGGAGAATCTGAGAGGAGTCCCTGGGGCTTCTGTCAGAGTGGTCTTCACTGGATTGGTTGGTGGAAAGACACTTTGGCCCAGTGACTTCCTATAGGCCCCCTTTGCTCCTTTTACAGGAGACTGGGGAGCTTGTGGGGGAAGACCCAGTTGTCTGACCCCTGGGGGCTGCTTTGACCCCTACCCTGACTCTGGAGCATCCCATTTCCTCCTGCATCCCACCCTGGCCTGAGCCCCTCTCCCCAGAGACCCAAAGAACCATTCTTGTTTTTAAGTGGTTTCTCTCTCCCTGCCTCTGCCAGCTTAGATGGAGGAAGGCATGGACATCAGCAGCTGCCCCGGGCCCTCCCCATGTCCTGGAGCAGCTGATGGGGGGAGGAGCCTTGGTGTGCAAGGTTGCCCCGCCACCTCCCATCTGGCAGTAGTGAGGCAGCAGCCAGCCTGGCTTCCCTGTGGGCATCAGTGGGCATAGGGTGGGGCTGAATGCCCCTGTGAGCCGCCCACCCTGTTCTGCGGCCTGCCTTCCCCCTCAGCGCCCTGTCCGTCTGTCTGCTGGGCAGGCCTTATCTGTAGACGGGCAGGCGGATGTGGGCATGCTGGTGGTCAAGTAGCCGGGGCACAGCCACCGTCTCGTAGCCCTTGCCCAGCATCTGCTCCTTGATGCAGGGTGGCCGGATGTCATTGATGAGATACTCCAGCGACTGCAGGCTGCTGCTCAGCACTGATGTGTTGCACACACTCTTGCTGGGCAGACCTGAGAGGGCATCTGTGGGAGGCCCAGCCAGCTCCCGGGCTGCCCCCGGCCCCAGCTCGGTGACCGCCACTGCCGCCGCCGGGTTGTAGCAGTCGCTGGTGGGGGTCACCAGCACACTGTTCCAGGGAGCAGCGAAGTACTGGCCCACGGTGAAGTTGGCAGGCAGCCCCACACCGCAGTTGAGGGGCGATCCACTGACCCGTTCATACGCCCGCCCCCCACAAGCCTCGGGGGACTTGCTGGCCACCGTGCTACTGCTGTAGGCACGCAGTGGCTGGGGTGGCGGTGGGGGAGGCTTCTGTGGCCACAGCAGGTAATCCAGGCCACTGTCTGCATACCCTGCAGGCTTGGTGGCCCCAGCCAATGTCAAGGCTGGCGTGGCTCCCTGGCCCAGCTCCGTGCCTTTTCGGCAGTCGGGCAGACCAGCAGCGGCCGAATAGGCCATGCTGGGGAAGCTGGGCATGGGGCCGTGCTTAGCTGGGCTGGGGTGGGGAACGGCCACGCCCTGGCAGGCAGTGGGTGCAGCGCCTGGGGCCTGACACTGCTGGTTGAGCTGGTAGAGGATGCTGTGGATAGAGGGTAGGTTGGAAGGTGGCAGGGGCAGGCCCCGGCCCTGCAGGGGGATGACAGAGGTGGCAGTAGCGGCTGCAGGCAGACCAGGTGGTGGGGCAGGCGCCTCGGGTGGCTTGGGGTAGGCCAAGGGTCCCAGAACGCTGGGCGCTGGGTAGGGTGCGATGCCCACCTGCACAGTGGCCGGTGACAGCTTGGTCCTCTTGCCCTCAGCGTTCTTGAGCACACTTTTGGCGGGCCCGGTGGGTGCGACCATGCTGGAGGAGGAGACTGCAGCTTTGACGATGGCCAAAAGGCCCTGGTAGCCGGTGGTGTGCTGTGGGTAGGGACTGTAGCGCTGGCCGCTGGTGTCATAGCCATTAACGGTGCGGCTGAGGTGCTTGTGCTGGGGCACACGGATGTTGGTGGGGAAGATCTTAATGGACAGCGGGCTGTTGGCTACCTTCTCAGCGTAGGCATCCAGCTCAGCCGGGCTCGGGTAGCGGGAGGAATGCATGGAGCTGGCCACTGTCTCGCCTGCAAGGATGAAAGCACAGGTGAGAGGTGACCTGGCCGGGCCCTGAGGCCACACCCTGCTGCTCCCTGCCAGGGCTCCTGGAGCTGCCGAGTGCCCCTTCCCTTATTCATTTCTCCATTCATTTTTCCTTCCTTTATTCCTTCTAAATGTTTAAGCTTTTGATCAGAGTATAATGGGCAAAAAAGAGACTGCACCCATCATAACCTTGATGGACTTTCATGAAAGGAACACTCGTGTGTAACAACACCCAGGTCAAGAGGGAGGACATGCCAGTCCTCAGAGGGTCCTCTGTGCCCTCTCCCAGCCCAACCCCAACAAAGTGAACTGCTATCCTGACTTCTAACAACACGGACCAGTTGTGCCTGGTTTTTATACGTGGTGGGATGGAATCCTACAGTGTGAACTCATTTGTGTCTGGCCTCTGTCCCTTAATACTGTGTGTGAGACTCATCCAGGTGGCTGTGTGTGGCAGTAGTTTGTTCTCATTGCTGCGTGGTATTCATCCTTCTACTGTTGATGGCATTTGGGTTGTTCGCAGCTGATACAAATAGTGCTAAGGCCTCCAGTGCATGTGTATGGTGAGTTCTGTTGGGAATATGCCCAGGAGTAGAATTGCTGGGGTGCAGGGAAGGCATCTGCTCAGTTTTAGGAGAAAATGCCCAATGGTTTGCCCAAGAGACATGCCAGGCCATGCTGCCACCTGCAGGGCACGAGTTGTGGTGGTGCCACCCCTTGGTGTTGTCTGCCTTTTGCTTTATCACTGCTCCTGTGGGCATTCATTTCTTCTCTCCCTTCCTTATCTGTAAAATGGGATGATGAACCTGCTGACCTCATGGGCTGGTTAACATGCAGCCTGGTGCCAGGGAGACAGTGCCAGTGCGAGCTGCTGCTGTTGGCTTTCACCCTGCTCAGTCAAGAGGCAGGTGAGAAGGAGGGGTTTTGCCTCCCCCACAACCCAACCCTGGCTGCCTGTCACCTGCAAGGCTAGCATGGTGGCCACTACCTTATTTGTAAGCTGTCAGCATGGGGCTGAAGGGTATGCTTTGTGCAACGCTGACTGTCCCCACTGATGATGGGCACAGCTGGCCCTGCCATGGGGGAGGTGGGTCACTGGTGGGCAGATCCCCTGCTACCATCCAAAGCCCCTCCTGCTCCTGAGACATTCGCAAGTGCAGTCTGGAACTTTCCCTGGGGCCAAGGGGGCAGGGAGAGTGGTGGCAGGGGTGGGGTGGGGGCTACATGAACCAGATGGAAAGACCCTGGGCTTTGGGAGCTGGCCAGGCTTGGGTGGAGTCCTGGTTATAGGGCTGTGTGGCCCTGGGCAAGTTGTTTGCCCAGCTGAGCCTCAGTTTTCCCACTTGTGGAATGGAGGTAATGTTCATGCCAGGAGACTGGGGAGAGAGACTTCACCACTCTCTCAATTTCCTCATCTGTAAAGTAGGGGTGATGCGGCTGTTAATGCTATTTCCTAGGATGGCTGTGAGGGTTTCATAAGTCATGTGTGGTGGACAGTATTAGCAGAAAATGGTGCTTTCGGAGTGAGTATGAATACCCTCCCCATCTGCCCAGGGCAAGTGCCTCCCAGGAGAGGAAGGGGCAAGGGACTCATGCTGCCCTTCCGACCAGGTGGGACTGGTATTGCAGCTGGGGCAGATTGCAGACCCTGCCACCTTCTCTAGGCCTCCCCACTGATTGGAAAACCACATGCCTCTCAGAGCCCATCCTCGCCGTCCTCGTGGCCTCAGGGCCAGGCTGGATGAAAAACGTGTGACGAAGAGGCAAAGGCAGTGTGGAGACAGCAGGTAGCCTACCTAGCCAGGGCTTCAGTGACAGCTTTCTGGAAGGACTAGCATCCTGGTTAAGTACTGAGACAATGGTGGAAGGGTTGAGGAGGAAGGAGAGAAACAGATTTCCAGCAGAAGAAACAGCTCGGGCAAAGGTCCAGAGGGGAGGAAGTATGTTCCAGTGGGAACTGTAAATAAATCAGGGTAAGAGCAGGAGTCACAGCTGGGGGTGGGGGTGCTACTGGTGTCTTGTGGGTAGGAGCCTGGGATGCCACTAAACATCCTACAATGCACAGAACAGCCCCCACTAAAAAGAACTGTCCATCCCCAAACAACAGCAGGGGCAGGTGGAAAAGACCTGCCCCACGGTATTGGGCAGCTGTGGAAGGTTTTATGCAGGGGTGGGGCAGGGGCAGCCCAGTGTTTTAGAAAGCTCATTCCCTTCTGTCCTGAGGCAGCCAGGAGGGCAAGAGTCAGAGGCTCTGAGCACCCCTCAGAGGCTGGGGCAGTGCCGCTCTCTCTCTCTGGCCTAACCTGGGCCGGGCAGGTGGAGCCGACCCCTGGTTGGCTGCGGGTCCCTATCCTGACCCTGCTTGGGGTTGCCCTGTTCTAAGTGGCCTAAAATAAACTTGGTGTGGAGAATGGAAATGTCACTTTGGCCAACGGGGGAATCTTTCTCTGAGATTGGGTTTAAACTACATTATACAAGCAATTTCATGGGCACTTAGCGCCACTTGGAGAGTCCCGCAAAAAAGGCACCAGCTCTTCATTTACCAGCCATAAATCAGCAGTTGCTATAATGAGCACAAAAATGTCACTTTTATGCAATTTTACAGATGAACAAAACTGGTGAAATTAACTGTGGTAACCTACTAGAGTCAGCAAAAGCGGCTGCCGGGAAAAAATTATATCTGTATGTATTTTTGTTCCTCTTAAACTCTCTTTCCAAGCAAGTTTCTGCCATTGTGGTGTGAAAACTCATTTGTCCTCACCATTATACTTTCATTTGGAGTTTATCTTGAGTATCCAATGAGCTACCAACTGTGAAAATGATTAAATCTACAAAATCTATCTAATGGATGGAATAAATTAGGTGTTTAAAACCTTAAGAAGAAGAAGAAAGAGATGCCTGTTCCCAGTCCCCATTCATTGGAAGAAGGGGCATCTTGCCCGTCTGGTCAACAGTGCTCATCGAGCACTAGGAGGACGACAATCCTGAGGAGGACCAGAGTCAGCCTGGAAGCTCGAGGGGCAGGCAGGGAGGTGCCCATCAGAGGCTCTCACTCCTGCTAGACATTGCCGCTGGCAGCCCTGAGCCCGGTCTCTCCTGGAGACAAGCTTGGTTGGGCTGCTCAGTGCTCTTCAATGTTTTGAATATGGGTACCTTCAGGGGGGACATGGGCTTCCAGGGCACCAGAGTCCCCTGTCTCAAACCTGGCCTGACTGCAGTGCCCCTGTAGCCCCTGCTTTACACCTTGTTCCTTGCAGGACTTTCTCCTGAGATCACCCCTGGGTGCCTCAGGCCCAGCCTTTTCTGCCAGAGTACAGTGGAGGTAGCTGGGGTCCCAGGTCACCTGGGCCCTGTGACCCCAGCTTGGTGAAGGCTCCAGACCTTCACCAAGACCCCAGACCACTCCCCAGCATGAGTGTTCAATGCAATTGCAGCCCCATTTTAGTAAATGTAACAATAGGAAAAGGCCTCGGGCTGAGCCCGTGGCGCACTCGGGAGAGTGCGGCGCTGGGAGCGCAGCAGCACTCCCGCCGCGGGTTCAGATCCTATATAGGGATGACCGGTATGCTCACTGGCTGAGTGTGGTGCAGCCGGTCTCAAAAAAAAAAAAAATAGGAAAAGGCCTCATATGAAGGAACCAGGTGAGCCAGCTGTCTGGGGCAGGCTATGGTGGTGGTGGAGAGGATGGGGGATTAATGTGGGGCAAGGGAGGTGGCCTGTGGTCCCACGGCCCCATTGGGGAATCCCAGGGCCCAGCTTAGACACCTTTCCATCCCCACCTGCCCTGACTCCCCCAGTTGGGCTGGGGTCCCCTGGGGGCTTCTGTCAGCACCCGGGCTCCAGCACTGCACACACTGTAGCAGACTCTGACAGCTGTGGGCTTGCCCTCCTCGCCCAGCAGACCTGGGTGTCCTGAGCTGGCTTGTTCACAGCTGTGTCCCTACCATCTATAGGACACAAAGCAGGTACTTGGGAACATTCTATTGAATGGATGACGAGGCTGTGACCAGGTGGGCCCGTCCATCCTGGGAGCCCGTCACTGCTAGTCATGACGCTTGAAGCCATGCCCCATGCACAGCTGCCTTCCAGAGCCTCCCTCCAGGTCCGCGTCCACCATGTTTCCTGAGCCGCTCCTGTGCACAGGCACCGTACCTGGCCTGGGAGATATGGCAGCCATCAAAGCAAACAGCCCTTGCCCTTATGGAGCTGGCATCCTAGGAGGGGAGACGGGCAGCAGCAAGCCCCACACGCCAGAAGGAAGCAGGTGTGGTCGTTTTAAAACATGTCCACAAATAGTGGAGTCTAATTTTGCTGCATTTGAACTGGCTCAGTGACTCTATTCTGTTGAATAAAATGCAGCGGGAGTGGCACTGTGTGACTTTCATGGCCGGGTTGTAAAAGGCAATGTGGCTCCCACCTGGAGCACTCTCCCTCTGGCTCTCTTGGGACGTCCATCCTTAGAACCTGGCCACACGTAGAGGCCACATGTGGGTGCTTCAGCTGGCAGCCAGCATCCACCACCTGATGTGTCAGCGAGCAAGTCTTCAGGAGACTGCACCAGGGACATCATGGGGCAGAGACACACCATCCCCCTGTGCCCTGTCCGTATTCTGGAGCATGATAAATGGCTGCTTGGCGCCACTGAGTTTTGGGGTAATTTGTTACACAGCCATAGTAACTGGAACAGCAGGGTCTGGAGGACTGTGAGTGACAGGACAGAGGGGCATCCATGAAGAAGGCATCTCTGATAACGTAGCTTTTGAGTACAGATTGGAAGGAGTCAAGGGGGCATCTGATGACAGAGTGGTCTCAGCAGAGGGGACATCAAGTGCAAAGGATCTGGTGTGTCTGGGGATGCAGACTCAGTGGTGGGGGGTGGTAGATGACAGATTGGAGAGGTGGGGGGCTCACAGTGCCAACCATCGGGCCCTGGGGCCACTGTGAGGACCTGGGCATTTGCTCCACTTTGGGGCTTCAGAGCTGA